CCCTCTGGCCTCCTGAAGACTAGAGGTCTCCTATTCCTTCAGGCCAGAGAAAGCTAGACAGAAATAAGGTCTCGGAGTGTGACCTGGGGGTAGCCAGGGTGGCCGGCCTTGCTTGAGCTAGGTCCCCTCCAAATTGATAAGAGTATGAGAAGCTCCTGGATTACTCAGATCCCTCCAGGCAGCCCAGTTGTAGGGAGCCCAGTAGAGTTCCATGCTCCGCTCAGCCTCATCTGTGCCCCCATTCCTTCCTACTGCCCACTTATAGTTCCACAGGCTGCCGTGGGCAAGAAATAACAGCCAGAGAAAGCCAAGCACAGGGCCCTTCAGCCCATAGCTCCTGGCAGGAGTGGCCCTTTCCAGGATTTTGTCCCCACCCCCCACCAGGGAACGTGGCTAGGGGGTGTTCAGAATCCCAGCCCATTTTCCCCCCAACATCCAGTAACTAAATCTCTCAGATCTATCCATCCCCACTGGGATTCAGAGCCCCACCCCACCCCCATCCCCCAGGGAGGTAGAAGGACAGATTCTCAGCCAAGTAGGGGTCCTAGTGGTCCAAAGGAGAGAGTGGCTCTTTTCCCTTTGTTTGTTCACAGGAGGGGACAAATGCCCTGTGTGCACAGAGGTTTGATGTGACAACTTGATAGACCACATAAGGGTTTCAGCAAAGGCCTCCCGACCCTGCGCTCCATGCATTAAGATAATGGTGGGGGGTGTGCCCCAGCGTATTTCAGATCTTGGCTACAAAGGCCCTCCTTCCTTCTGTGTTCCTCCTCCAGTTCAGCTTGCCCACAGGTTCCCAGAGACTCTTGGCAGCTTGCTCTCAGGCAGAATGAAGCTGTGAGCTGAGTGGGAGGCAGTCAGACAGCAAGTGTTGCAGCCTCCTTAATGAGGAACAACAGCTCTTCTGGGGGAACCCCAATTAGGAAGGAGTGAGAGAAGTAAAGAGGACAGACCCATATCTTTGGTGGCTCTGTAGGACCCATGAATGGAGATCTAGCTGGTCGAGTTTAGAATCTCCTTTTCTCTTTCAGGTAAGACATTCTAATAACCTTAGAGCCAACCCATGGTAGTGAGCCTTCAAAATACCAAGTTGAAACGAGGAGAAAAATATATTGGGGAAAAGTGTTTCTCCTTCAGTTTGTAGCTCAGATCTTATATATAATCCAAGAGTAAGAAAGGAAATGATATGTATTTAATGTAATAGACATCCTCTAAGTTCTGCTACATTACATATGTGTGTGTATGTGGATATTTGTATACAGCTAATAGCTCTCCTTTGTTCTGGCTTTCAACCGAATCACATTATGTTTACATCAAGATAGTAATCCTGGATTTTCCATGGCTCGGTCTGTCAGAATGTAAGATTAGCTCTTGAATTCATTAAGTCATCTTCTTTTAAATGTCAGATCATGTTTTAAATGCCAAGTACTTGCGCAACACCGTATGTGCAATTCAAATCAGCTTTACCAAATTAACTCATTAATCTTTATTGTTTCGTTTACTGAAGAGAAAGGCTTCCAGGTGTTTTTAGCAGAGCATAAAATTATTGAAGTATTTACAGTATAATACAGGTGAAGGAATGGGTTTTGATTTTTCTGCTAAACATTTCACCTTTTCATCAGTTTTCTGACCATTCCCACTAAAGCATGCACATCTCTGCTTTCTTCTACTTCCCCCATCTTCCTTCCCTTCTGTCTAAACGTGGATTTTCTTCTCCCTTCTCCACCTTCAGAGACCTTGACTCTTGTTCACTATTTGTTCTGCTGTCTTCACTCTCAAAATAGTCCAAGAGATGCAAGTGTCAATTATGATGGCTCTATCGCTCAGAAAACAGAAGTGTGCCTCACAGGGTCACGGATGGAGACCAAAAAGGTTGGGGCACAACAGGTCTAGAAATCAGGAATTCTATTTTCCTTTTCAAAAAATCCCTGCCTGGTTTTACCTCCAAATAATCAGACCCACTGACTACTAAAGGTAGAGATCCTTCCAGGACTGGCTCCTTCTTCTCACACCCAGCTCTCTGCTCAAATGTCACCTCCTCAGAGAGGTCTTCCCTGATCATCCAAAGGCAACACCCACCAGCTCCATATCAACCTTCATCCTGTCACCATTTCATTATCTTCATAGATTTGTCACTAAAATCATCCTACTTATTTATGTTTGTTTGTCTGACACATACAAAATCACGCAATAAATACCAGTTTAATGAATAAATGAAAAACCACCCCAATGCATGGCTTTCTTTCCTGGTTTCAACTTTCTGATTTTTTCTCCTCTTCGCATTACCTCTCAGAATCCTCTTTATATATTTAATCTTGTCTTTCCTCTCATCTCCCAAGCCCCATTTCACTATCATTTACTTGTTAGAACTCCAAAATATAATAAGCAAAAGTAGTACTTCACATTCCAGTGACTATAGAGCCTTCATGGAAAACATTCCATCAAGCTAAAATTGATGGCCCCTAAACATTAGGGAGAGGAGACATACAGTCGAGAATTGTTTTATCAAAAGATTTATAGGTCAAGTGATTTGTAAGGACTTTTCTCAAAGCCTCTCAACTCCCCACTCTACAATCTGAGCCCCACATAAGGAGTTAAAGTAATTGCAGCCATTGGAACTGGTCTTGGCTATGCCTTTTGTCCTCTGGCCTAACACGAAATTGTCTCTTGGAAGTAATGGAGAAATTTCCCTCAAATCAATATTGTCTGAATTCTATTATTCCACCCACTGATTCATGCATGATTTTGGAAGCTAGAAAGCTTGAAATGCTTTGTCTGATTCTAGCTTGGACCAAATGCTTTCATTTGATCTAGAAACAGGGAGGGGCTGTCTCACTCAGAGAAGCTAATCAGATATGTGGCTGAGATGACAAAAAAAAAAAATTGGATATATATTTGTCCAGAAAAGTCTTTATCTCCAGCCACATTTCAAAACAAAGGGAAAGGGTGTGGGTGTTCATTGGAATGATGGCTGCTTGTGGGGACCCACCTACAGTTAATTCATCATTAATACTTAAAAGTAATATAAATGTTATGAGAGGGAGAGTTTATGACAGCCCAGAGAGTTAGCCTCCTAGAGAATATGGAAATGATCAAATCCACACCCAGGGTGATCTCATGGCACACTAATATATGTGACCCCAGCAAAGCAGCCCTGAAAAATAACAAATAACTTTTTTTCTTGGGTATGAGGAGCCAGAGCTACGCAGAGCACAGGCCTCTGGAGGTCAGCACATACTTCCTGTAAAGGTGTCTTCATTGGCCCTCCACATTTTAACTGGGTTGGGCCACAGCATGTAGCTTGCCCCCAATGTGATTGTTACTCTTTTGTTCAGCAAATCTGTAACAGGTGTGTATTCACTCCCAGACCCTGTGCCAGGAACTGCTGTTACAGGGGAACAGTGCAGTCTGGTTCCTGACCTCACAGAGCTTACAGTCTAGTGGGGAGAACAGGTGGCTGCACAAGCATAAGCTCATTGTGGGCAATGGTGGGAAGTGCTCAGTGCTCTGGGATGCTGTGGGGGCCACAGATGAGCCACACTTGAAGGATGAGGCGGAATTAGAAGGATGAGGAGGAATTAGAAGAAAGGAGTGTGTTCCCAGGAGAAAGAAGGGCATGTGTGATGGCCTTGCTCCAGGAACTGAAATGCCAGTGTGGATGGTAGCCCTTTGCATTTGCTTTCCCCATAGTGAGGTGGACATTTCCCTCAGAGAGCCCCACAGAACCTTCCCTGGCTTTCTTCAGAGCTTTGCTTAAACATTGCTTTTCCCTGCCTACCTTGCTTAAAACTGCAGCCTCCACCGCCATTCCCAGATACCCCCTCACTCCCCTCTCTGCTGTATTTTTCTCTGTATCACAAATCACCTTGAGACATAACTTATGTTCCACTTGCTTATTATCTCCTCCCTCTCAGTGGAATGTATATGCAATTTTCATGAGGGTAGAGACTTCTGTCTGCCTCTCGCTCCGCCGTATTCGCTCGCCGGGCATAGAAAAGGCACTCTATAAATATTTGTCGAATGACTAAATGAGGCAGGAGAGATAGTCCAGGCCAGGCAAGAAGGGTCTTGTAAACCTTTTTAAGGGGGTGGCCTTCATCTGAAGGGTAAGGGCCTTTGAAGGTTTTGAGCAGAGTGATGTCCGGTTTGCATTTTGGGATGATCACCCAGGTTGCAGTATGGGGCATGGGCTGGAAAGTAACTTTAAATGGAACTCTGTAGTTCTCTGAAACATGACACCATTTGCATGTTGTGGTGACAGGAGAAGGCATGGCCCCAAAGATTGGAGAGCCCCTGGGGCCTCCCAGACTCCTCCATTAGCTCATTCTTCCTTCCCTCTCTGCTAGATTTGTTAAAATCACTCTTCCAGCCACAGCAAACACATTTTTATTTTCCAGCCAAGCAAGCAGATTTATTAAAAGGATCATACACTCTCTAGATAGTGAGAGTGGGCAGGCCTGGAGAAGAGCAGCTGCCCCTCAGCAAATACATTTTAAGTTGGGAAATAAACTGGAATTTTGCCACAACTTTATTTGCTGCAAAGCAGATTTGATAACTATGCATGGAAGCTAGACGTCTCAAAAGAATCTCACTGAAAAAGGAGGCTTGGAAAGACAGTGACTTCAGCTATGCCAGTTACCAACTGTATGGCTTTGGGCAAGTTCCTCAACCTCCCAGAGCCTCCTGTTCCTCACCTGTGAAATGGGAATGACAATACCTGCCTCACACACAGGGCTGTTGTAAGGATTAAATAAAAGGATTACCACCCTGGAACACAGTAAGTTTCCTTTTTCCACTTTCCCATTACACCAGCTCCAGGTATGAATTAATTATTCTGTATACATATGGGTCCCCTGTGTCGTCCATGGTAAAAATAGGTGTTGCTATGAGTGTTCCAACGATGAAAAATTACTTTCTATAAATATTTGGGGATTTGGACTAGCTCTTGTCGGACTGTATATCATTACTATGAAAGTTGGGCTTTCTGCTTCTCTTTACAGGGAGCCCAGCAGTCCTTGGAGGCAGCAGCTCAGAAGACAGGAGAGCCTCAAAGTTGTGTAAATAAAGGCCCGATATGTTCAAACAGAAGAGAATTTTACACACGCAAGCTGTACATCGACATGATGCCGTTCCTGAAGGTGATTTCACACTGAGAAGACGAGGGGTTTTATAGACACACACACAGGCATTCCAGTTAATACACTTCTGTATGGTACAAAAACAGCTTCAGAAGTCCCTCGGAGTCCCTGCTTTATCAGACGGGACAGAAAATAGGCAGTTTGTAGCAGACGAAGAAAGAACAAATTAGGACAGTAATCACAGCCAGCCATCAGGGACAAATCAGCTGGGTGTCTGGTTTGGATGGTGGGGGATAGGGAACAGAGAGGAGAAAGGATAACCTTGAACCACCTCATAAAACAAGCAAATATAATTCATTTTATCTTGACAGTTGCTAAAATAATTGTTGCTCTTTTATCACTGTAACTTGGTAGAGCTGTTCCTATTGTAGAGAAGACTGATTTTTGAGTTAACTATTTAGAAGTCAACTTCAAATCCTCTCCCACATGTTTGACCTTGCTTTCTGTTCTCTAAGAGTTCATTATTTTCCCAAGCTCAGCTTCATATCTAGTTAAGGGTACTGAGAGTTTCTGTTGTGGGGATGTCATTTGTCCATCTTTTCAGTACTCCTTCCCGCACCACCTAACACAGCTCCTGGCACATGGGAGGTGCTCACTAAATGCTCCATAAATTGACCCCCCCTTTTCATCCCACAGCCTTCTGGCTTAGGGCCCTCTTCCTACCCACCTTTTCCCCCCTTAGAGCTGAATGAACTGGAAGCAAAGGACCATGGAGTAAAAGAAACTAATCAGGAACAAAGCAAGTCTTGGCATGGAAAGATCTCAGATCCTTCATACTACCCCAGAGGACAAAATCCCAGACCTTTGATAAGAAGTGACTAGGAAAGACAGAACAGAGGAGAAGAAACCAAATACTTGTGAGGTAGATGGGCAGGGACTTCGGAGGTCATGAGGGTCGCCCTCCTAACCTCAGCTCATCCAGAGTTCTCATGTTACATCTTCTCTGGGCAACCCCAGTCTCAGCTCTGCAAGGTGGGGCTTTGATAAGGAGTCATGTATCTGCCCCAAATCTTTTCTCTCCATGGCTGGGCTCTGCTTTCCTCTGTTTACTCTTAGGTAGGCTCTTTTCCCATGGTGGCAAGATGACCACCAGCTTCTCTTTTCTACATCATTCTGGAACTGAATCTCATTGACCCAACTTAGGTCATATGCCCATGCCCAAATGAATCACCATGGCCAGGGGAATGGAATACGCTGGTTGGCCTAGCCTGGGGGACTAGAAGTGGGGAAGGGAGGAGTGTCTCAAAAAGGAAAACAGGACACAGAAAACCAGGGTAAATAGAATGATTCTGGGCAGCAAAACAAAAGACATTTCCTCCAGGCATTCAAAATAATTACCTTGATTCATTACTTATTATATTAACTTGGTAGGGCCACTATAACAAAGTACCATAGACAGTGGCTTAAACAACCAAAATATATTTTCTCACAATTCATGAGACCAGAAGTCCAAGATCAAGGTGTTGATGGGGTTGATTTTTTCTGAGACCTTTCTCATTGGCTTGCAGGCAGCCATCTTCTTCATGTGTCTTCACATGGTCTTCCCTTTGTATGTGTCCATGTCCTAATCTCTTCTTATAAGGATACCAGCCATGTTGGCTTAAGGACCATCCTTATGACCTCATTTTACCTTTTTAAAGACTCTATGTCCAAAGGCAGTCCACTTCTGAAGTACTGAGGTAGACTTCAACGTATGAATTTTGGAGGAACACAGTTCAGCCCAAAACACTTAATGTTAATGAAACTAGACTTTTTTTCTTAGCAACAGTTTAGTTCTTCCCTTAGAGCTTGAAGTATTGTGGTTAGTACTTCCTGGGATGAGATTTCATCATCATTGTCACTGTTCATTCATTCGACCCGTAGTGAGCATCTACTACCTACTATGTGCCTGCACTTTCTGGTCATTTCGGATACATCACCAGCAAACAAAACAGATTGAGATCCTTGTCCTGCTCCAGGCAATGTGTATAGTATATTAAAAGGTGATAATTGCTATGGAAATGAGATAACGGTATATAGAGCATCTAGAAACTGCAGAATTCAGAGTGGGGAGTTTTGCAATAATTTTTTGTGTGTTTAGTGTCCACAATGCTTTTGTGTTACACTTTTCATTCAGCAATTTTGGCACCAAATTATTATATACTATATTATATACCATACACCATACACATATACAGATACACCATACACATATAATACACCATATTGTAGAGGGAAAGGCATTATTATTCCTAAGGCCCACTTTCCAGACCACCCTTTTCAAGACTCACAGAAATTGTAACTCAGCCTACTCCTCAAGGGACTCACAGAGCACACACAAGGCTTTGTGACCCCCAGGCCAATTCCTTGCCCAAAAGACCAGAGCTTTTCTTGGGAATGTCCAGAGTTAACAGCTCTCCTTAGGCAGACCTTCTTGTTGACATGGTAGCTCCTGGATTCTTAGGGATTGCATTGTAGAAAGACACAAATCTTAGGATTGTATGGAAAAGAATAGAGAGTCCAAACAGAGAAAGACACACAGGTTGTCCTCAGCATTTGGAGCTATATAGAAATCAATTCATTCTACACATTTCATTCATGCATTTCCTGCCTATCCACAGGGCACTTCAATCACTTTTGCCTGGCACATGTAAGAAGCATTGCACATTTCAGGGGATAAGGGTAGGAGATAAAAATATCAAGGCAGAAAAGAGGCATGGAAAGAGATGCAAATAATCACAATTGGTAATATTTGTGAGCACTTACTCTGTGCCAGGCTCTATTGTAAGTTTTTATATTCAGGAACTCATTTAATTCACAAAACGAACCTAAGAAATAAGTAGCATTGTCCCATTTTACAGATGAGAAAACTAAGGCATTGAGCAGTTAAGTAACTCTCCAAATGTCATACAGTTGGTAAATGACAGAAACAAGACTCAAGACTCAAAGTAAGGTGGACCCAGCTCCAGGGCCCATGTTTTCAACCATCATCTATAAAGTTTCACTGCAGACCCCAACTGAGTCCTAGTCAGTCAAAAGTACTGACTACCGTGTTAGCTAAGCAGCCAGCACAGCTCCTTCTAGAAAATTCCATCCCTGAGCACTCATCCAGTCTGCTGCAGGAAGATTTTTCTGACCCTACAGGACTCTGACCTTTGCCCCCGCCCACCTGCATTCTGTCGAGCCAATGTAAAGCTTTCTCTCCCAACGATCATTCAGTTCCCTTCAAACAACATACAAATATACTCATATTGAGCATCCTCTGTGTGTCAGACACTGTGCTAGGCACCGAGAATGCAGAGATGAATCATCTCCATCCCTGGCCTCCCAAGGAGTCTGTAATCTAAGAGGGAGATAGGGCCGGCTGAGTGGCTCAGTTGGTTAAGAGCTCGCTCAAGAGTTTGAGCTCTGAGCAACAGCAGTTCGAGTCCAGCCCGAGCTGAGCAGCCGCTGAGNCTTGACCTCTCTGCCTCAGTGTCCTCAACTGAAGCTAAAAACAGTACTCCCCTCATAAGGTTGCATTAGGAATACATTAAGTAATTCATGTATAGTGGTCCTTTAATGAATATTAATCCCAAGTTGAATATCACAATGACCACCAATCTGAAATGACACTATGACGCTCCTTGTGGCATCTGGGCCCCCCTGGGGTGAGAGAGACCATAAGAGCTCACTGGAGATAAATGGGCAAAGTCATAGATTTGGGATTTCACCCTAAACTTGATAGTTTTCTGTTTACATCTTTTACTAGTTCTTTCAGTTGCCATTCTGAACAACAACAAAAAATAATAATAAGTTTTAGACTCATTTTAAAAGGTGTCACTACTTCTGGATATCAGAAAATAAAATGTTATGGTAGCCCAATCCCTGGGTTTGGTCAAGCTTTGAAGCAGGGTTTCTGCTGACATTAAGTCTCCCCCGCTGCCTCCATTTGCAAAACTGAGTGACAATAGCCAGGGAAACAAGCTCCCGCCCTCAGATCTTCCATCTCGTAAATCACATATGCAGAATGTGAACACTGACGAGGCTCCAAGGTCTTGGCCAAGTGCAATGGAGCTTTTAGGCAGCGCAGAACATGACCAAATCTAAGCAATAACCAAGTCAGTCAAAACAGATTTCCTGTCTCATGACAGAGGGACAGGCTCCAGCTGAGTTCCATAAAGGTTATTCACACAGCCTTTAATGCAGTGAAGTGTCACTGCAGAAAATTAAAGCAGGCATTTGCCTGTCCTGAATGATAAATGCTAATGTTTAAAAGGGATTTCAAATCTTTTAAAAAATAATGGGGGTGGGAGGGTTGGAGGGCACTCTTTAGGCAGCATCACAGTGATCAAGAGTGCTGATTAGTAAGTCTGATTCTCTGGGTTCAAATGCAGGCTCTACCACTTAGTAACTGTGTGGCCTGGAGTAAGTTACTGAGCCTTCCTGGGCATCTTTTTTCATCATCTGTAAAATGGGGATACTTATAGCACTTAGCTCATGAGGTGGTTGTGACATAAAGGAGTTACTACATAGAAGGTGCTTGTAAGAGTGCCTGGTGCAGAGTAAGTGCTCATTAAAGGTTAGCAATTAGTCTATTTCTTGAAAACTAATTTTAGTAGCCATAAATTGCACTTTGTCAGGAAGGACTTGTTCTAAATTGATAACATGATGATTTATTTCTTTACTTTCCAAATCAGTCTTAATGGGGGTGGGGGTGGGGGCTTGTTCTTGGGAGACTGATTGAGTCCTCTGTGTAAGTCCTTCTTTTGCCTAAGTCTGGGTGTGGGCAGCAGACCCAATCTGAATGAAGCAGCCTTACCAACCTCTGCATTCTGTGAAACTTTATGTACTAGTTTATCTCATTTTATCCTCACCACAACCTTATGAGGTACAGTGCATTATCCCTATTTGACAGATAAAGAAAATGAGGCTCAGAGAGGTTAGGTAAACTGCCCAAGGTAACACAGCCTGGAGGAGCTGATATATGAACCCAGCTTTCTATGACTCCAAATCCTTGGCTCTTTAATAGTTGTAAAGAG